AGAGAGAGAGAGAGTGGCAGAAGCTGTTGGGATCCTTGGGAAGCTGAGGACCTCGAAGGGAAAAGCGTTGCATCGCCCGCGAAGGCAGTGCAGCAAAGCAGCAGCGAGAGAATAGAGTTTTCGTTTGGGACTTGATCGAATTTTCCCACCCACCCACCCTGTCGCTCAAGAGAGGAGGGATCAATGGGAATAGGAAAATCTGTCTAGTACCAAATTCGTTTTCCAATTTACATTGATTTTTGTGTTTTCTTGTGAAGGGATATGACCGGGGCATAGACGTCGGGTTGGCCCGATAAGTGATCCCTGGTGAGTCCGAGAGGAAGTCAATGGTTCGGCTCATAGGTTGGATTTTGGCTTCGATATTTCTTGGTTTCGGCGTTTCTGAGTTCTTGTCGCTTTCCCTAATATTCCAAATTTCTTTCTTGAGCAAAACACAAGTTGGTTATTTCCCTGTCATAGTTAGGAGTAGTGTCATTGAGTGGCAGTCAGTCTTTCTTCTTGATGACGCTGGTTCGTACCGAGTAAGCCGGCTTTGTCTCAGTCGTGGTCTGGCGGTTCGATTCGGGATATTTCTGCAGCATTCCGTCCTTTGAATGTTGCTATGAAGAATCATTCTTCCGTTCATGTTCGTAAAAGATCGGCATTTGCTATTATTGTAGCACTAGGATTTGAGTATATTATCTGCTGCGTAGAGACCATCATCTTCAGGGTGGGCTAGTGCCCCCAGGTCGAACGGAGGATCCTCATTTCCACTCAGACCTTTCTCTGTCAGCAACTGAAGCAACATCTCTACACGATCGTGAACTCAGGGCACCGAGTGGCCGCACCTTTTCTATCTCAAGTAACGACCGACTTCCGTTGTCGTCGGGAATTTCCATTATATTCTTTTTTGGCGGATACAGACTGAGCGGTTCCGCAATACGGTGGTATCAGCGGCAATCGATTTCGTTTTTCGGCGGTACCACCAAAGTACGGCGTCAAAATTCCGGCGGAAATGGCCTCCTGAATACCACGCCGATACCTCTGAACAAACTGTCTTACTGGATGGAATTACAGCAAATGCTTGATTTGTCTTGGGATCCAAGCAAATGTGGGCATGCAGAGATCCCAGACTCGCATCTTTTGTTGTCGTTGAAAATAAGCCCTCCCTAGTATAAGGGCTCGAATGGTATCCAGGTTAGAGCCAAACATGGAATGCTTTTGTTTTCGTGGTGCAGGTCCTTGTCAGGATTCGCCGTCATTCAGGCAACAAAGTTTTGTATCAGGGCGTTACCCCACACCCCAGATCAAAACCACACCCAGCTTGCTCCGTTTGTGACAGTCTAGTGCTTCCACGTTCGACTAAGCTCGATGGTCATCGGCGCGGCACTGTTTATTGCGGAGATATTTTCGGCGGTGATCTCCAGCCTGTGAAGCAGAACCCCCCCCTTGCGTGCCGTTACCATCCCCTCTCTCCGGATGTCAAGCAAGGTGCGCTGGTGAGGGCCTGCGATAGCCGCCCTGCGAGCGCGAAGAAGAGATAGATCGAGCCAGTATCGTGGCCGAGTTTGTTGCAGTCTCCCTGTACTGTGTTCTTCGGAGTGGTGCCTGTTCCACCACCAGTGCTACAGGTGACTATTACAGCAGTGCTACAGGTGACTCTTCCAGTACAACAGGTGACTGCTCCAATGTTTATATATCCGACGGATGGTGCGACTTGGATAACAGCAACGCCGAGTGCGACTGGGACGGTGGAGATATGAGTCTTCTTGAGTATGCGAGGCTGTGGCTACACGTGTTGCAAGGGCATGAAGACGGACCATAATAGAGGGATGATCTGGTACGCAATTAGGGCTGTTGATAACATGATACATCGACAGTTTTTAGCATATACGTACAATGTTCAACAACGCGTTCGGCAGCCTTGTTGGCATTTAAGAAGTGGCAACAAATGTCACACGCTTTTTGTTTCCACTCTGAAAGGGTACGGTGCAGCTGTGACCAATGGTACCCCCGTGCCCGCCTGCCCCTGGCCGTGCCGTTTCGCTTCTTTCCCCCTTGCCCTTCCTGCCCTACTCCTGTGGGTGCGTACGGAATGCATCAATAGTGCTGCCAGTGCACCTGCGTTGATAGCGACTTTGAATGTGGCATCGCGGGCTTCTCCTGTCTGGACCCCTCCGCAACTGAGTTATACGACTGCGAGGAACCGCCGACTGGTAGCCCTTGCTCATTGGAAGCTCAGCAGGCGTGGGTGGTGGAAGACTCTGCGCAGGCACAGGCTGTGGCGGCCAACGTCAATTGCTCCGGCGAGTCATTCCAGGTGAAGTGGAGAGGGAGCGTGTCCTTAGATGCACCCATCTTCATCATGCACGGGACCGATCTTAACGTGACGGGCGGCGGCGAAGCGAGCGCTGTCATCGACGGGAACGGAAACACGCGATTATTTTCCGTCGACAACGCCACCCTCCGCTTGAGCGGGGTGGAACTCTGCTCCGGTTTCAGCACCGGCGGCGGGGCGATTGCGGCGTCTGGTGCCACGTTGGCGTTCAGAAACACAAGTTTTGTCAACGACAGCGCTGGCACTAACGGAGGGGCGCTGTGGTGGAGCGATTCGAGTGCCTCGCGGGGGGGGGGCACAGGATTCATTAGCAACACTGCTACTGAGTCTGGAGGTGTGATTTTCCTTCTGAACGGATCGTACGTAAGTTCTACCGGAGACACCAAAGTTGTGCGGAACGGCGCACTTGTCGACGGAGGCGCGGTGGGATCGGTTGCCTCGGACTCTGTTCTGAGCCCCGAGGACTCTACCCTTTCCATCGATGGCCCCACGGCCTTCGTGAACAACACGTCCGGAGAAAACGGCGGCGCCTTAGCCCTTCTTGGAGAGCTGTCGATTTCTGTCAACACTGAGGAGTCCAGCTTTGTCGATAACTCTGCTGACTTGGCGGGAGGAACCGTCTACGTCTCCGACACAGCAATCGGCCCGACATTTTCCGACGTTATCTTCGACTCCAACTTTGCTCACGTCGGAGGAGCAGTCTCCTCCATAAGGGTCCGGGAATGTGAAAGGGGGCGAAGACGACCAGCTGCTCCCAACCACGTTCAGCCGATGCCGGTTCACCTATAACCGGGAAACAGCAACGGGTGGGGCTGTCGACAGCGCGAGCGGACAAGATCTTTTCGAAGACACCGTGTTTAGGGGCAACCAAGCGGTGACGGGGGGTGCGCTGAGACTGGCGGGCAGGGCGTCTTTAGAAAATTGTTCTTTTGTGGAGAACCTTTCCGACGAGGGGGAGGGCGCGGCAGTGTCCAACGTCGGTATCATTTCAGAGATCAGCAACACCAGCTTCAGCGGGAACGTCTTCAACTGCGCGCCAGACACTTTCCTGAACTACACTGTACGTGATACAATGTTGACATGCTCATTGTCGACTATGGTACGTCGTTGTACCCCCCAACTCAGAAATATGTTTCACCCACCTCATCGTCAGACAGTACGACGTAACACGCACGTTACTGTGCACACGGCAGTGCTCTACGCTATTAATAGTGGTACCTCTTACAAATGACTCCTTGGCTGCACTCCCCATTCTCTGACGCCTGGTGATCAACAGTCAGGAGATCCGTTGGACGAAGCCTGTAGTGGATGCCAAGCTACCTGCGATGGATGCGCCCAACCGCCTGCGGTCCCGTTATGCTCGGACGTGATTCCCGATTCGAGGAGCGATGGTGGCTTGGTTACCCTGGAAACCCTATTGATCGATCCCGGCTACTGGATGGCGACTAATTCTAGTACAGAGGTCCTGGCGTGCTACAATGTCGACGCCTGCGTTGGGGGTATTACGGGGGCAACTGAGTACTGTGTTGAGGGTTACGAAGGGCCATGTGAGTGACGTTTGGCGGAAGAACAAAGTTGAATATCAGCAAGTTTTGTCCATTGGGCTTCACCCAGACATGGACATATTATTTCGTCCTTCGTACAAGCCGGTACCCATCTGTGCTTCCATGTTTCCTGTCCCCTGGGTTGTTTCAGCACTGCAATAGTAGGACCGGAAGCAACGAGCTCGTTTCTTGACTGAACGCTGGTGTTCTGCATGAGTGGAGCGAGCGAAGAGGCGTGTCGCCGTAGTAGAACAAGGACCTTTCACCTCTTCGACCTCTTTTCTCTGGCAGCAGCACCGACAGCTAGCTCCCTAGACTAGTCCGGAATTCCACCGCCCGGTTTTACGTGTGTTGGACCAGATTGTGCCATTTGCAGTGACGACTACTCGGTCCAGCTGGGATTCACCTGCAGCAAGTGCCCCGACAGAGCCGGCGGTATCCTGCTCGCAACTGCTCTTGCCGTGATAGGACTCTTCACCGTCGCTGCTGTGGTCTCATACGTGGCATGGAGGGTGGGTCCGAGCACCGGATGCGGGATGACAGGGATATGAAACGGTGCCTCCCGCTCCAGACTTTGAAGATCCTTGTGGTGGCGTGGCAGATCGTGACTCAGGTGCAGAAAGCGAAGGGGGCGTGTCTCTCATGTGTGGTACCGGTATGTAGATATTGGATGCAACTCTCGAGAAAGAACGTGGAAAGCCCATCAAACTCTTGTATCCCGCTGCGTCGCTTCTTCTGAACCAGATGGAGCCCGACCTCGTCTTTTCGTCGTTCAGTAACAAATGAGAGTCACACTACACGTTGGTTCAACACCACTCCGTGTTTTTTGGCAGGGCATACTGCTTTAGGACGCTGTGGGTCTACAAATATCGGTGCGTCAATCATGCCAATATTCTGCATCTTGAGGCCCCACATAGCGTGGGAACAACAACTCATACCGACCTCCCGTTGGACTCTCGAAACGTGCGGAGAGTACGCAAACGTTGCCTGAGGCTTTTCCCTCGTCTCCGCACAAGGCACTTCCCCGACCAGCTCTCCTTTCTCCTCCCTCCAAGAAAACCATCGCCCTGCTTCACGCTGCTTGTTCCGCATCGATGCGGTTTACTTCCGCGGCGAACGTGACCTACCCGGCCGTGTACCAGCGCTTCCTGAATGCCCTGGACGTGTTCAACTTCGAGATTTCCTGGATAATATCGGCTGGTTGCGTCATGGACCTTGATTTTCACGACCTACTGCTACTCTCGACGATCGGTCCCCTCATTGCTCTGCTGTTCCTGGCGGCAACCTACAGAGCTGGTTCGCGCATCAACCGCGGAAATACGGAGGCCCTGCAGCTTGTTTGGGACAGACATGTGTCGATGGTGCTCCTACTGGTGTTTCTGGTTTACTCCAGCGTGAGCTATGTTGTGTTTCAGACTTTTGCGTGCGACCAGCTCGACGGCGGCGGGGAATACCTGCGCGCGGATCGAGTACGATTCCTCCAATCATCAAGGATTCCGTGTGTACGCAGGGTTCATGATTCTGCTGTACCCGGTGGGCATCCCTGCCTTCTACGGCGCTCTTCTGTTTAGGGATCGCGACGTGCTGCAAAAGGATCCGGACGGTCGAGAAGATCCTCCCCGTATTTCTTCGATCTCTAACCTGTGGCAGCCGTACAGGCCTTCGGTTTGTTGTTGTTGTTGTTGTTGTTGTTGTTGTTGTTGTTGTTGTTGTTGTTGTTGTTGTTGTTGTTGTTTCTCACATTAGCCATATAGTCCACAAAAAATGGGGAGCCCGTGGTCTCAAAACCCGGCACATACGACGCCGCGGGGAAACAAAACAATAGTAGGGTACAAACCACTCGGAACAAGAAAACAAAATGATAGAAAGAAAAGAACAGCTACCGCACCGACCGTTCGAGAAAAGAGCCCTCGGAAACCGATCAAAATAAAACAAAAACAAAAATAAATGAGGACGCTTCCCACACCCGCCCAAAGAAAAAATCAAGAGTAACGTACCAGCACCAGGCACTACGCACCAGGGCATGGGAGTAACGGAGCAAACAGAACAAAGAGGCGGCAGATGGGCAGACAGCCAGACGTACAAAAACAAAGGCAACAGCAAAGCGAGATCACGGTACCCAACACAGCAGAGTAGGCAGGGAGGTCATGAAAAAAAAAACACAGAAACACAGCACAGAGGCCGAAGGCAATACAAAGGACATGCAGAAAGGAGCATTGCATACAGCAGGGAGGGAAACAGGGCGCAATATCATCAGCCGGGTATATAGTTCGCCACAAGTGCTGCCTCGGCCGCCCTACTCGCTTCTACAGCAGTGCCCGGTCGCCGTTTCTTCCCCCCC